AATAGAATAGAATAGAATAGAATAGAATAGAATAGAATAGAATAGAATAGAATAGAATTGAATTCTTTATTGGCCAAGTGTGGTTGGACACACAAGGAATTTGTCGGTGTAAATACTCTTAGTATACATAAAAGAAAAGATACATTTGTCAAAAATCATAATGTACAACACTTAATGATAGTCATGGGTACAATAAGCAATCAAATCCTACTAGGAAACAGTCAATATAAATCGTAAGGATACAAGCGACAAAGTTACAGTCCTAGAATCACAAGTGGGAGGGGATGGGTGATAAGGAGTGATGAGAAGATTAACAGTAATAGTAATGCAGACTTTGTAAGTAGTTGGACAGTGTCGAGGGAATTATTTCTTTAGCCGAGTGATGGCGTCCTTGTGTCTAGTTGTTCTGGTGTGCAGTGCCCTATAGCGTCATTTTGAGGGAAGGAGTTGACACAGTTTATGTCCAGGATGTGAGGGGCCTGTAGATATTTTCACAGCCCTCTTTTTGACTCGTGCAGGATACGGGTCCTCTATGGAAGGCAGGTGGGTAGTAATTGTTTTTTTTCTGCAGTCCTAATTATCCTCTGGAGTCTGCGTCTGTCCTGTTGGGTTGCAGAACCAAACCAGACAGTTATAGAGGTGCAGATGACAGACTGAAATCCAGTCTTGTCCAGTCTCCCGATAAGAACATACAGGATCCCTGCAGGGTTTCGGGCAGACATTTTCCAGCCTTCTTGAATGCAGCAATGAATAATGGACCTGGACCTTCCACTTTCATTATCTCTTGGCTTTTTTGACAATTCCATGAATAGGATGGCATTCTGCTTGGAGCCGTTGGTGCCTATGACTGGAATGGCGCCGTCCTCAAGGAGACCAGCAGCGGCAAAGTGGTTCCTCACCGAGAATCCTACCTGGAAGAGTTTCCAGATGAACTGAAAAATCATGGCGCCTATCTTGGTAAGAACAATGTGCACTGCGCACACTTCTGGGTGGGCATTAGCAAAGCTTAACCAAAGCTGCAATTCAGACATGAAATACTAGGGTTTATATACCACTTTTCTGTATTCAGTTCCCAAATTATAACAGCCATAAAAATCACAATTAAACAATGTTTCCTATAATTGTATGTATTTAAAATATTAATTTAAATGGAGAAAGGTAGAAAGCTAGCCGTTTGTTGCTGAATTCCAGATAAGAGAGAAACGGGTGGGAACTAGAAAAGGAGTTTCTTGGGATGCAGATAAGGAGAGAAAAAGCAGACGCGGAATGGCATGAAAACAGAGGAATTGTTGGTGCAGAATCAACAGGAGTCTGGAACGCCAGCCCTTCTGCGAGGAACTCTGGATGGGGCAGGAATCTTCCAGAAGGGACAGCTCTCTGAATTGGGGGTCAGCCTGGAGTCACAGGTAGAGCTACATCAGAGGTGGGATTCAGCCGGTTCTGACCAGTTCTAGAGAACCGGTGGCGGAAATTCTGAGTAGTTCAGAGAATCGGCCAAACCCATCCTCTGACTGGCCCCGCCAACCCCATCTCTTCTCTGCCTCCCATGGAGTCCCAGCTGATCGGCTGGGTCTACTTTGGTTGCTGCACAGGAGAACGGAGCTGGAAAGCAGGTTAGTGGGGTGGGGAGGGAAGGGGGATTTCGCAGTCACCATCCCCTGCCACGCCCACCAAGCCATGCCATGCCCGCAGAATGCCACACCCACCACGCCACGCCCACAGCTGAACAGCTGGGTCTTCTTTGGTTGCCCTGCACAGGAGAACGGAGCTGGAAAGCAGGTTGGTGGGGTGGGGAGGGAAGGGGGATTCTGCAGTATCCTTCCCCTGCCACACCTACCAAGCCACACCCATGGAACCGATGGTAAAAAAAATTTGAACCCCACCATGAGCTACATGGGCCACAGGACAACTGCGGCCAGGGACATTTTTGCTTAACTTGGGTCAGTGCACCTGGCAAGAGTGACAAAACACTTGTTACTCTTGTATACGTAGATGGCTGCACTATGTTCTCTCTGTGGCCGGCTTTGAGGATTACTCCGAAGTTGCAGTTGGCAAGTGAGAGCCACGATAGATAGATAACGGTGCTGCAGGCTCTTCACCAGTCATCAGGCTTCTGGATGCATCTCAAGGGGCTGCTTTGAACCTAAATTGCCTGGCCCAGCTTGGTGTCCAGGTGCCTGCAGGCCTACTACAAAGTGGTTCTACACATTCCGGTAGGCTAGGAATACTGGGGTTGATACTCATGTGGTGCCAACCATCTGGAATAATCACTCCCTGGAGATATCAGACGGGCTCCCAACCTTTAAGAAGACAGTTACATGGATGGTCAGAAAAGCCCAGAGGGATCAAGACCTGGTCGTTGGGATGAAGAAGGAAACAGAGGATTTACATTTTCATTATAAATGAAATGATTATGAATGAAGCCATTACAGATTATATTGTTGGCCATCATATTTTCGATAGCTATTTGTTTTAAGTGTAAATCACCATGAGTCTTTAGACATGTGACAGGAGCACATTTCCAGGGCAGGGGGTAAAAACCAAGGTAATACATTCAAAGCCCCACTTCCTTTTGCCCTATGGATGATTTGCAGAAAAAGGAAGTAGGGTCCTTCAATTGCATGGTCACTGCTTCCATGTCAATATTTTGACAGTGGTAATCTAAAAACACAGTAAATTAAGATGAGATTATATAAATGAATCAAACCAATAAAACAACTGTAAACGAAAGGCCACCCTGGATCGAAACTGTTTTGCAGGTTGTCAGAAAGTAAGAAAGGCTGTACAATATTGTAGAGAAGGACTCCAAGTGGGATTATGACAGTGATGATAGTGATGATCGGTTCTGGCCATGGAAATAGGTCACTGTAAGGCAGGGGTGTCCAACCTTGGCAACTTTAAGACTTGTGGACTTTAACTTCCAGAATTCCTCAGCCAGCAAAGCTGGCTGAGGAATTCTGGGAGTTGAAGTCCACAAGTCTTAAAGTTGTCAAGGTTGGACACCCCTGCTGTAAGGGACTCCCTCTACATGATCTCTTGTGTGTATATGTGTGTGTGTGTGTTTCTAGGCTACACTGTCACCTCCGTGGTGTCCACAAGACTCGAAAGGATTTACGTAGCAGGAGCCCCTCGATTCAACCACACGGGAAAAGTGATTGTTTTCACAATGCACACAAACCGAAGCCTCACCATCCACCAATCACTGACCGGAGAGCAGGTAAAAGATGTATTTCTGGGCATCGCTTTAGGACGCTGTGTGACTGGAGAAGAAGGAGGCCGTGGCACGTGGCTGGATTAAAGCTAATAGATGCTTAAGCAGAGTCCAGCAACGGTGTCCTTTGACAGGAGCAAAACTCTCATGCCATGAAGAGGAATAAATGTGATATCTGATGAAAACTTCAAGCCAAACGTTTAAACTTTAATCATTCACTATGCTAAAGAAAATGGTTTCTTTAGCCCAGTGCGGATTGAAGTCGAATGCAGCAGCTAAGAACAATTTATAAGATTGAAGAATGTGGTCATTAAAGAATTAAGGTAGTCCTTGGCTTATGACCACAATTGAGCCCCAAAATGTATGTTACTAAGCGGAATATTTGGTAAGTGAACTTTGCCCCATTTTGCAACTTTTCTTGCCAAGCGAATCACCACACTTGCGAAGCGAGTAACATGCTTGTTAAGTGACTTCCCCATTGACTTTGCTTGTCAGAAGGTTGAAAAAGGTGATCCCAGGACACCCCAGGATCATCATAAATACAAGTCAGTTGCCAAGTGTCTGAATACTGACCGCATGCCCATGGGGATGATACAATGGCCGTAAGTGTGAAAAACAGTCAAAAGTAACTTTGCACAGTCACTAAATGAACTGTTGTAAGTCAAGGACTACTTGTAGCTAGAGTGGAAAACCTCTGTGGTGGCCCCTGCCCTTGGTTTGCTTAATTGACAACAATAACCTTATAATAATAACAGTAAAATTATTGCCTTCAAGTTGGTGTTTTCCCCACAGCAATTCCAAAATAAAACAGCTCTGGGGATTCAGGATTGACTCTTCTGTTTTTCACTTCATCCTTTCAAAGCCATTTGTCTATGGGTCTGATACGATTTCCTGAAGAAATGCCTGGGCAGGTTATAAATTATAAGAAGAACTGTCTCCTTTCAGGAGTTGATTTTGAGTTTTTCTACTTCAAGAATGACTGTGGCCAAATGGAATGAATAAGCCAGGTTGAATCGCCTATTATACAGACCCATTTCTGTCTATAAAAGAATGCGAATCTTGGCATTCAACAAGAATCCACAGAATACTATTTGCTTGATGTAAATAGCCCTCAATTCTTTCAGACTGAGTTAATCGTTTTTTTACCATGGACTTTCAGTAACAGAATCAATCAACGGAAAGCAACTGAGAATAGCAGTTAATATGAGCCTTAATCTTCCAGGATCAAAGTGTTATTTCGCTCTCCGTCTCTCTGAAGTGTATTCCAGAGGCAAAGTCTAGACAAGGAGATGATGGATGGCTTCCTCTGAGAAATGGCCCTCATTCCAGTAGTATCATTACAGATGCCATTAATTTTTCAGAAGCGTATGCCAATGCAGAAATACACAGCTCTGTAGTCTTCGTTCTGTCTATATTTTTCATATCCTTCTCAGATCGGTGCCTACTTTGGAAGTGAAATCAGTTCGGTAGATGTTGATGGGGATGGAATCACAGACATTCTCTTGGTTGGAGCTCCCATGTATTTCAGCGAAGGGAGAGAGAGAGGAAAGGTCTACATCTACAGCTTAAAAGAGGTAATTCTGGCTAGTATATTCAACCAAAATAGAGGAAGATTTTGATTCTCAGTTCCTCCTTTCTGAAGACATTGAGATCAATAAAGAAGAATCGAGGGGAAACATTTAGAGTAATGAACACAAATATAAGGAAGAACAAACACCAACCTTATAAGAGAAATCTCTTTCTCAAACAGTAGAAGAAAAACCATTGCGTTTAATAGGGCTTCTCGCCATGGGACAATTCAATACTGTATTTTCATTCAGTTACTTTTATTACTGGTGACTACCTTTTCATTGAAATTATTGTAACTCTTTTGTTTCTGGATTATTTTATTATTAATGGTCACGGTTCAGTTGGAATTAATTTTACTTTTGCATTTGTTGAATTGTCCCATGGCAAGTTGGTTTGGTTGCGGTGAGTTGGCCGTGGCGAGTTGGCTGTTGTCCCATTCTGAACTGTGGCGTAAATTTCAATGCATTTTCTGCCTGGATTTCTCACTTTCTCCATCTCTTTTTTGAGGGGCAACAAATTTTCTGACAAATTGTATTCATGGTTCATTCTGTGCTGATACACAAATGTGGTTTTTTTTCACCTTTTCTCTTCTTAAAGAACCAGTTTGTCCCCAATGGAGCTCTGAAGGACTTGCCCGGCTATCAGAATTCCAGGTTTGGATCCTGCATTGCCTCTGTGCCTGACCTGAACCAGGATTCCTACAGCGATGTAGTTGTCGGAGCACCTCTGGAGGATGAGCACCAGGGAGCTCTGTATATCTTCCACGGTTATAGGGAAAATCTGATCCGGAGATATAAGCAGGTACAGATTCTCTGTAGGCGATGAGACAAAGGCAGAGAAGGGGTGATGGTTGGGGTCTACATTAGCTTTTGGGCTTGAATGAAATCCCATCCATTTAATCCAATATATTTAACATTGTTAAGTTTCTGCATGTAATAATTTTGTTCTAGTGACATTTTATTCATTTTATTCATATCACTTTGGGGTGGGGATCCAGAGGGTTTGCCCAAGGGGTCCTCAGCTGGTTCACCCCTGCAGTATTGTTAGGAATGTGAGACTGGACTACGGAGAAATAAGAAAACAACAATGGACCTCCTCATCTATTTCAAAGAAGCCAGCTAGTTAGAAAAGGATAAGGCTGCAGGTCATTGGTGCCCCTCAACTAACTGCCAGCACTGGCGTTCTGACCAAACTGTACAACCAATGCCTTAAACCTGCACGGAAATACTAGCAGTATGCAACTTACAAACAGTCACTTAGCAACCATTCAAAGTTACAGTGGAATCCAGCCCCAAAAGCTGCTTGCTATCTTATTTCAAACTTATTTCAAACAGCTGCACCTTCTGCAGTCATGTGATCACATTTTGGGTGCTTGGCAACCAGCTCACTTTTATGGCTGTTCACAGCATCCTGCAGTCCTGTGACTACATTTTGTTTTTCCAATTTCCAGCAAAAAGAAAAGAAATAGTGGAGAAAATGCATTCGCTTAAGATTCACTTAACAATCACTTAACAAAAAGTGCTGAAAAATTGAGTCTATTCACCTTGATCCATTTAACAACCACAACAAGTACTTCCAGGCTCAGTTATGGTCATGAGATGAGGACTACTACCTGGATTTGTATTTTCTCATATTGGCACTATAATTTGGTACCTGGTTCACCTTTTATAGAGGAGGTAATCTTTTTTTAAGCTGTTGGGTGAGTTCAAATAAATGGCTCTGATCGCTGCGTCTTCGGTTGTTGTATCCACTGATTGGACACAAATAGTGTTGAAGCAGGTTTTGCCGATATATGGTAGTCCTTCCAGAAGAAAGAAAATGCCCGAGAACAAAAACCTGAGTATTCAAACAGCCATTATGCCAATCTTGTTCTGTGCACGCGGAGGAAATGTGGCATGCTCAGGACCCATAAAACCTGAAGTGCTTCAAACGAGACATTTTGGGCAGTCCTAGGCAGTGATGGTGGAATGAGGATTTTTTCACATTTGCATAGCTCATAAAAGGCCACCGTTGAACATGAAACCGGATCTTTATTGCTTTGGATGTATCAGCAGAACACATCTACCTGAGTGGTAGGATTCAAAAATGTTTACTACCGTTTCTGTGGGCGTGGCTTGGTGGGCATGGCAGGGGAAGGATAGTGTAAAATCCCCATTCTTTCCCCACCGATCACCTGGGACCTGGGAGGCAGAGAATAGATGGCGGCCAGTCAGAGGGAGTATTTGCTGATTCTCCAAACTGCTAAAATTTTCCACTACCGGTTCTTCAGAACTGGTCAGAACCTGAAGCTGAATACCGCCTCTGAGCTACCTAGCTGGAAAGTCGCAAAATAAAGTGGACTGCCCCAAAGAGCTGGATTAGCCCTATGGAGGCTAAGAAGCACAGCAGCTACGCTGTAATGCACAGACTTGCAGCCTCTGCTCATTTTCAGATCTCAGAGAACCCATGCAGAAAAAAAAATCACAAAGTCCATTTTGCATATGAAAATATCACAGTGTAACTCACTTCTAGCCCATAAACAAACATGCCTTACAACATTTATAACAACAGCAAAGTCGCAGGACAGCAGTTGAGTTGCAACACATGAAAATTCCCACCAACTGCAACGGCTGGTACTGCATGGGGTGCAAAGTTCAAAAAACAATACCTACCTTCTGCAATCGTTATCTCTTGTTAACAGCTGTGCTACAGACAGGAGGGCCCTTCCCTTGGTGCATAAATGAATGAACGTTGCAGACGAGCCTCCGGAAAGAAACTCTTCTTGGAGTTCCCAGGTCCTTTAACTGCAGGACGGGATTAAGGAAGCGAAATTCACAGGGATTTTCTTTAATGTGTTTAATGTCAAAGTTCAGAGTACCAAATCTTGGGAATGGAGATAGGAACCCTTTAAGTCTCCTTTATGAGCAGGCCTCTTTGAAGCTTTGAGTCTCTCTTTCCCATCTGGTTGCAGGATATTTCTTACCAGTCAGGCTGTTTGTGTTTGAAGATGCTTCTCCTTCGCTCTTGTTGTTCCCACAGTGGGCCCTAGCCTGGCGCCAAAGCCAATAAAGACCATCAGACACGAGGAGTGGCACCTTCAGTTTCTTTTATCGGAATATTCCAGCAAAAGGAACCAAGATCCCAAACAAAACAAAACACAAACGTGTTACACAGACTGATATGACCGCTCTGCCTGACCACTACCTATTTTAAATACAATGAGGGTTTCTGCAGACAGAAACACTGCTGTACCTGGGTTCCCCTGGCCAATTTCTACATGGAAGAGATAGAAATTGCAAGGTCTCAATGAACACATCAACTCTGTGGACAGATACATCAAATTCACGCGGGAAGATGTTAAGGGAAATAGTCCAGCCTTCCTGGACCATGCAGTACCCATTAAGGAAGACAGAAGCCTCAACATTAAAGTTTACAGAAAACCCACCCACACAAACAATCAGTGTTTACGTTTGGATTCTCACCATTTTTGGAACACAAGACAGGGGATAACAGAACCCTACACCACCGGGCTGAATCCCTGCCACCAGCAAAGATGGAAAGAAAAAGAATGAAAACACCCCAAGGAAGCCCTCAGAATGCATAGTTATCCCAAGTGGGCCCTCCTCAAATCCCAAAAGACGCCCTACAGGAGCTCCTCCTTAACAGACAAAGGAGAAAACAATAAACAAAGCAATGTTGTCATTCCATACATTGCAGGAATATCTGAAAATCTCAGGAGGATCCTCAGCCAACACAACATTCGTGCGCACTTTAAACCCAAGAATAAGGCAGAAGCTTGTCCACCCCAAGGATAAAAGACCCAGACACAAACTGGTATATGCAGTACAACGTAGTGAAAGATGTGCCAATCTGTACATTGGCAAAGCACAACAACCACTTCATAAATGTGTGGTGCAACATAGGAGAACGAACACATCAGGACAAGATTCAGAAGTCCTTGCAGAAGTTGTAACCTGCATTTAAAAGTCACTGGCCACTCTTTTGAAGACAGCAAAGTCCACCTTTTGAACAGAGAGACCACTGGTTTGAAACGGGTCAAAGAGGCCATCTATGTCAAAATTGAACAGCCCTCTCTCAACACGACGTATCTCCTGATTACACCACAGTCCTTTCAGAAGTTTCAAGAAGACTCCACAGCCATTTGCACTACTCAGGTGACCCTGAGGACACAGATAGGCCTCCAAGTGGCCTCAATAACTCTCTAAAAGAATGCAAATGACCAGCTGTCTGCAAGGAATTCAAATCCTTCAATTCCCCAACATCCAGTCAGAACTGAAGAAGCTTCTTGGACGAGAAGTGAAATGTCTTTGAACAAAACAAGGAAGTCCAGTTGCCTCTTGAAAAAGCACCTTTTTGACAACCATGACTTGGATGACTGAGAATCTCCATAAACAAATTTTATACAGTTATGATTAGGGAAGTTAACACCCTAAGAATCACTCATTGGTTTCTTGGCACATGTTTCTTTTGACTGGATTCTTCTACTTTATTCTCCTTCATTCATTGCATGTTTATGTTAGTACACTTTCTTATCAAAAGGGGTGTGTATTTTACTATTATAATAAGCTAGAGGTTACCCAAGTTTAGAATCTACGTGCCTTAGCTAGCATCCTTCTAGTGTGTCCTTCTAACTTGTAACTTCCTTGTTGCTAGGTGGTCATGTCCCACCATTTGTTATACTCATCACAGCTACAACTTTCTGCCTTGGCAATTCCTTTAACAATTCCAACCCGAGACCATTACTCTCAGGCAGAGCCCAATCTCCCACATTGATAATGGTGTCTTCAGACTATCTCAGCCTTGTGCTCTAATTGTATTCCATCAAGTCCTTGTAAATAGCAATGTTGCAAAGGAATCTAGGACTGGATTATCATTTTTTCCGAATGGGGATGCAGCATCTATCTAGGCCCCAAAGAGAAACAAGCGGCAGATTTGTTGCCAGGAGCATGTTAGTTGTCCCTGGATATTCCTGGCCCATTACACATCTACATCCCACAGCAACATTTGTCAGCTACAGAAGAATATTTCTGAGATTTACAATGTGCCTCTTCTCTTTTCTTCTTATCCTTCTCCACAACAACAATCCTGTCAGATAGGCTTGGATATGTTGATACTGGTGCCCTAGACTAGCAGTCCCCAAACTTAGCAACTTGAAGACTTGTGGACATCCACTCCCAGAATTCTGAGAGTTGAAGTCACAAGTCTTAAAGTTGCCAAGTTTGGAGACCTCTGCCCTAGAGTCACCCAGCAATCTTCCACAATAGTGGCTAGTCTTGAACCCAAGGCTAACAAGTGTAACCTAAAGCAGGGGTCTCCAACCTTGGCAACTTTAAGACTTGTGGACTTCAACTCCCAGAGTTCCTCAGCCAGCAGTCCACAAGTCTTAAAGTTGCCAAGGTTGGAGACCCCTGACCTAAAGCTCAAAAGGCCCCAAACCCCATTGTGTTCCACCACATTATAATTTACCAGATTAGAACTGTGAAATGTAACAGGAGAGGGAATTATTAAATACAGGGAGAGTAACTTAAATTGATGCCAATTTGCTTTTGGTCATAGCCCCACCCAACTAGTTTTTCAAGGACAATCCTTTCTCATTCGTCTAGGGACTCTGGGAACTAAGCTCAACCAATAGGCCTCGTACACCGAGATATAATCTGGGCGTGCACCCTTGTTAAAATACGTAATTTACTTTTGCACAGCTATGTTGAAAGAAAACTCTTTTTTCCCCCTTGTTCTACCAGAGAATTGCAGCTGTTGACCTTTCTCCAGGCTTTATGTATTTTGGGAGCAGCATCCATGGAAACCTGGATATGAATGAAGACAAGTTGGTGGATCTGGCTGTGGGTTCCCGTGGAAGTGCCGTCCTATTATGGTTGGTCATATCCAATATAAGACCGGTTCATTCTGAATGAAATGGGGCAGGAAGGAGAAAGGGAGCCAAACCCAACCAACACCCCGAGTTAGTAGATGTCCATCACTGTATGAGGAGTCTAGGCAGTGGTAGGATTCGGTGGTTTTTACTACCGGTTCTGTGGGCGTGGCTTCCTGGGCGTGGCAGGGGAGGGATAGTGTAATATCTCTAGTCAAGGGTGGCATTTGCTGGTTCTCCGAACTACTCAAAATTTCCACTACCCGTTCTCCAGAACGGGTCAGAACCTGCTGAATTCACCACCTCTGAGTCTAGGGAATATGAGCGCAAGCACTGAGGTTTTAGATCCACGGCCCTCCTGGCTTGTGAAAGCTTCCCCGGTGGTGACATGTAGATGAGTTTTGGCAGTGGTTAATGCTTCCCTGTGGGAGGGCGGGGTGGTACCCTAGTCTTTGAAGGATGCTGTGGTCCACCCTCTTCTCAAGAAGCCATCATTAGGCCCTACTGGATAATGTTCACCTTGTCTCATGTGACCCAGGGGTGTATTAACCATTAAGCAAACGAAGGCCGTGCTTAGGGCACCAGTGAGCCTTCATCCTCCACTGACCTCGCCTTACTGCAGCACACGGCTGTAGCAAGGCAGCCTTTCCCCCTGTTGCATCCAAAGCTCTGAGCCCCTCCGCCCAGCAATGCATTTCTGGACTGGCTCAAGATACCATCTGCCTCTCCCTCTTCCCTGTAAGGTCCCGCAGTGTGGTCCAAATCAATGCCACACTCCAGTTTGAGCCCTCCAAAATCAACGTCTTCACCAAGGACTGTGTTCGGAATGGGAAAGAGGCCACCTGCCTGTCAGCCTTTCTTTGCTTCACTGCCGTTTTTCTCTCCGCTCATTTTCAGGCAGCTCACGTAGGTAAGTGGCAGGGGGCTGCCCTCCCTTGACAGATGTTCTCCCCTTTGGGTGGCTGTATTGCTTCCCCAGGGAGGGGGATTTTATTCGGGACACAGTCCTGTCCCAGATGCTCAGGGCAGGACACAGAGGGGTAAAAGAAGCACTTTAGGGGGGAAGAAAAGCCTGAAATTGTCTCCACAATCCAGTGATTACAAGGAAGCCCCTCTTAACCTCTTCCCATCGCTGCAATTTAATCATCGCTTGCTTGTTTGAACTAAGTTTCTCATTTAAGAAGTAAATTGAAAAGACAATTGTGGCAGTCTTCGGAATCACGTCTAACGGTAGAGGAATGGGGCTGCAGAAGAAATTAATGATGTGTTCACAGAGCACTGATGAGGTTACCTAGCCAGGTCATGAAACGCCTACAAGAAAACAAGCAAGCTCAGAGAACCCCAAGGGCCCACCATTTCAACCCCGAACTACAAATATTCTCCTTTATTAATATGAGATTTGAACTAACTTGAGATTCGTTCTACATTAGTCCACATTGAGGAATAAATTACTTAACCTCCATCTTCCTTTATTTCAGCATTGAATTACAACCTCACCATTGATGAACGACGCTATTTCCCACGAGCTCACCTGGATGCAAATGGAGAGCGACTCGCCCACAAGGCAGCTGCCTTGCTTGCGGGGCAGGAACATTGCGACAGGATGGACTTTCATGTCTTGGTAGGGATTTTCTTGTTGGGTAACTGCATTCCATTTCTTTTGTTTTTGTCTCTAAAGAGCATTTCTCAGGGATCTCTGTAGGCAGGAGGTGTTGGAGAAGTAGGCTTTGCATGGTGGCCCAACTGAAGCTCTGCCCCTTTTGTACAGGTGTGCCAATGTTGACTCCCTCATGGATGCTCCTGGTTTCAATCCAGCTGTGTGAAATATTTCTTGCAAGTTCTTTCACAAAATAGCAACAGCATATATATATATACTGGTTCACAAGGCATATTGCTTCCAATAATCTGGGCTCTCGTTTTCCCAATCTCGGAAGGATGGAAGGTACGGTCCACTTTGAGCTGGTGAGACTCGAATTGCTGAACGGCTGTCAGTCAGCAGTCAGCAGAATAGATTGCAATACTGCAATCTCACCATGGCACCACCGTGGATATTAATTAGTCAATTAAAATATCCACTGGCCATTGTACCTCCAGGCCCACATGCCAACTTGCGAGAGAACCTTGTGGTACCCTGCGGCTTACTTCCCTTCATGTAGATGTCGTATACCGTTAACTGTACTTGTTGAGTACAGTTTGTCAGCCAGCTACAAATCCATTTGGTGGTGCTGCTGTCTATCCCACATCTTTCCAGCTTACTCTTTAAGTATTTAATGGTGTTCCTGGTTTGCATTTTTGAGTTTGATTGTAAATGCATTTTTGTTATTATTTTCCTATAAAGTCATATTTTTAAATGGTTATAGGAAAGATTCATTGTTTGTAATATTGCAAAATACCGGGCATAAAGGCAAAAGTAATAAAGAGTTTCGGAATTGGAATAGTACAAAATAAATGAATAAAGAAACAAAATAAAAATAAGACAAATGCTGCTCATTTGGACAGTTTACGGTGCGATGCGCTATGTAAACCCAAAAGTTAGTTCTCTAACCAGATTAAGTGTGTTGAGCACATTCATCAGACCAATAACTATGTCCCCTGTTCTTTTTATCCTTTCAGGATACGGCTGATTATGTGAAGCCAGTGACTTTCTCTGTCGATTATGCCCTAAAGAGTCCTGAGACTGGACCAGTGATGGATGATGGTTGGCCAACTTCGCTGAAAGTTGCTGTGCGTGACACCTTCTGATCCTGGAGTGAGGGTTAAAGAGGGTTAAATTTAGAAACTCTTGCAAGGAACGTTCGGCTTATTTATCGCTTTTGCTTTCTTTCCCCATCACCTAAAGCAGTGGAGGGATTCAAAATTTTTTACTGCTGGTTCTGTGGACGTGGCTTGGTGGGCGTGGCAGGGGAAGGATATTGTAAAATCTCCAGTCAGAGGTGGGATTTGCTGGTTCTCAGAACTACTCAGTGGGAACTCTGTGCATCCACAATCACCAGGGCATTGTCTCTCTGGATAATAATAGGTTGTTAGTCCCAAACGAAGGCTGGATTTTGTTTTTCCTTGAACATGATTTGCTTTTCATCCAAGGAGCTTCTTCAGTTCTTCTTTGGTGAAAAGCAAAACATCTCCAAGGAAAAACAATAAGTCCAGCTGCCTTTTGAGAAAGCACCTTTGGGACAACCATGACCTGGATGACGGAGAATCTCCACAGATAAATGAGTTGCTAGGATTTCTGCTTTGTCTTAGCAAGGGGACAACATTTCCCAGCCTTTCCTTGAGTGGTGCATAACTTCAAGCATTGAGGGCGCCCATCTTAAACCATCCAACGCTTCTCCTCTGCCCAACAGGTCCCGTTCTGGAATGGATGCAACGAAGATGAGCACTGCATCCCTAATTTGGTTCTGGATGCTAAAACAGATGTCCCAACTGCCATGTGAGTAGATCTTCTGAAGTGAGTCTAAAGTTAGAGGGATCTGGGAAACCAGGTTGCACCGTTCCTTTTGGAGAGCTTTGTGGAAGGGAAGTCACCTGAGCAGGTGAATCTCTTTCTTCCCCTTTGCCTTGAAAGGGCAGGATCGTTCTCCGTGAAGGTCACATCTTCACTCGGGCTGCTTGCCAGCACCGTTGTACTCTCCGCTGCCAATTGGCCTAACTGCCCCACGCCCCCATCTCTTGACTCCAGTCTATGTGTGCAAGGGATTGAACTCATGTGAATGTCCTTCATGCTCTTGCAGACCCTGCTGTGTGTGTGGCTGCTGCCATAACATTTGCTCTTTTCATAGGGAATATTGCAGACGGGTCCTGAGAAAATCTCACTTGGATTGCTCCGCCTACACGCTGTCTTTTGATACCTCCATTTTTGTCATAGAGAGTGCCAGAAGGAGGGTAGCAGTAGAAGCCCTGTTGGAGAACAGAGGAGAAAATGCATATAACACCATTCTAAACATTTCCTTCTCAAGAAACCTGCAGTTTGCAAGCTTGATTCAGAAGGTAAGGCTTTCCCTAAACGCTCCCTTGCAGGAGCGAAGGCTGATCATTCTTAACGATTAAAAAAAAATATCTCTCTCTTTCTGGCAGCCCCTGAAGCCCCCACTGTCTTGCTAGTTGAAAATTAAGAGCAGAGTTCTCTATTCTTTTTTGAGTTGCAAAATGTCCAGAAACAGTATTGTGTGCTTTAAAATAGATGTAACGTTTTTTTCCCCCCAAATTCTCCCCAAGTTTGACTTGGATTGAATGAGGTCTCCGTGCATCTGAGAATAAGCTCTCGAGCATCCTTCCTGTCCCGCAAATGCGTACTTTTTGTTTTTTAGCCACTTTTTATTTTATTCATGTATCAGATTTATGTACAGTAGCCACCCTCTCATCAAAAGTCACACTTCACTACAGCTGTCCATTGATTGAAGCTCCTGACCAGCCAAAATTTGCTGTGTGCTGCCTGTCATCAAAAGGTTGCTCACCACAATTTCAAACGTCCACATGAAAACATAGGAGGGTTGGGGCCAATCTCACATGAGGGTGGGAGTGGGAGGCAGCAGCAAGTTGTTCCAGAGGGCAGGATCACAGCAGAGCAGGTCCCCCTCCTGGCCCCGACAGCTGGAATAATTGGGCTGATGGCACCGACAACATCCCCATCTCTACTGGCATGAGAGGGTGGGCCAGTCCCAGTGGGGTGAGACAGTGATTGAACTAGTCCTTTGACACAACTCAGAACTGATTGACCAACTTTATTCTTGGAGAAGGAAGGTGACTAAATCACCTGTGGCAACTAAATCTTGAACACTCTGTGGCCTGTGATGTGTTGTCCTGAGGTTCTCATATACTCCTTCAATTGCAACCCTTCCACTCCCCTTGGAATCTTTCTTTCCCTACAACCTGTCTCAGAAAAAATCCCTGACTTATTCCAGTTTGGCACGGAGAGAAATGCTTTATTCTTCCTGTTGTCTTGCCATTCTTTCTGCATGCAGGGAATTCCCCAAATGTAGTTTGTCTGTTTGTTTAAACAAGTTTTCTTATAGGGAGGAGGTGAAGACTTTGGTGGGTGGGTGCAATAAAAATAACTTGGTTTTGAATGTTAACAAAAACAAAGGAGATGGTTGTTGGTTTTAGAAATCATACTCCACTTCGTATCAAGGCTGCAGTGTGGGGGTGGTCAATAGTATTAAGTATCTGGGGGTGCAGATAACTAACAATCTGACTCTCTCCACATACCATCCTTAGTGAAGCGTGCAAACCAATGTCTGCATTTCCTATGTCGGGTGAGGAGAGCACTTCTTTCTCCTGTCCTGGCCACTTTTTACAGAGGCATGATTGAGAGCAAATTGTATCACTGTTTGGTTCAGTGGCTGCAGTGCCTCAGATAGAAAGTCCCTACAGTGAGTGGTGAGGACAGCGGAGAAGATTATAGGAAGCTCACTTCTCATTATTCAGAATGCTGCTATAAGCGCTATGTGCTTACTAGAGCTCAAAGCCTTGTTAGAGACCCCACATACCCAATTCTGGTCTGTTTCTGCTGCTTCCCTCTTGGAGGAGGTTTCAAAGTATCGTCTGCAGGACTACTAGATTCTGGAACAGCTTTGTTCCCTGTGCACCCATCTGATAAAGTCCCATGATTCTTCTCACCCCCCCACTATATATATATATATATCTGAATTAGACTGTGATGCTTCTCTGTGTCATATATGCGTGTGCATGTGGTTATATGCATAATGGTTATCTTTTGAGAGCCAAACGCAATGAAATTTCATTTTAATGTATGCTGATTAGTGACAATAAAGTCTTTATTTTACTCTACTCTATTCTAAACAATTTTACATAGAATTGCATATGACTATTCAATAATCACAGAAGGCAAGTGGAATTTCTGAACCCTCCTCTTGTTGGGGAAAATAGCAGGGAAGAGGAAGGCCTTGTTGACTTACCACTGTGGAATTTTGTTTTTTTGATCATTGGAACTTATATTTGAGCCTTTTTTTACCAGAATAACTTATCTTTATGGATGAACTAAACCTCACATTCCTTTCTATTCTTGTGAAGGTTTGTCCTTTTATTATTTTGGTTTTTAGAAGGCAAACACCCTGCAGAAATATTTCCAACATTTTTGTGCCAGAGAGTGCTGTGCTTTGAAATACATTAACTTGTGACAAATGACACAGAGGCAACTTAGTGCAATGTTCGTTTATGATTGTTATTTGGTAATTCTAGTTGTAGTCATACAATTGTGGCTTATTTAGACTCTATGGCGCAGTGGTTAGAGTCAGGGGTGGGATTCTACCAGTTCGCACCTATTCGCTAGAACCGGTTGTTAACCTTCTAAGCACTTTGGAGAACCGGTTGTTAGAAGAAATTCCTGGGCTAATCCTGTAAGGAAGGCAGGAAGGAAACATTCTGGCGTTGCTTACAGAAACTGCCTCTCCATTAACCCTTATTACATTCTTGGCAGGACTAGACTTCCTGTCTCAGGAACTTCTCTGGAGTTTTTTTCCCCTCCTTTGCTGGTACTTTGCTTGTGTGGAGTGACCATTCAAAGTTACAATGGCACTGAAAAAAGTGACTTATGACCATTTTTCACACTTACGACTGTTGCAGCATCCCCACAGTCATGAAAGGCCAGGTGAGGAGATGCGTGCCTCGATGTGAGTGGTATTGAGTTGGCCATGCCCAGCGAATAACATGACCATCGAGCTGTGTCCACTCAGTCACATGACCACCAAGCCATGCCCACCAACTAAGTCATGCCCACAGAACCGGTTGTTTAAAAATTTGAATCCCACCCCTGGTTAGAGTGCAATATTGTAAGCTACTTCTGCAGCCAGCTGCCTACAATTCAAATCCCACCAGGCTCAAGGTTGACTCAGCCTTCTGTCCTTCTGAGGTGGGTAAAACGAGGAGCCAGATTGTTGGGGGAAAGAGGCTGACTCTGTAAACCGCTTAGAGAGGGCTGTAAAGCACTATGAAGCGGTATATAAGTCTAAGGGCTATTGCTATTATTTGGTAAATCATAGACAAGCAGATCTTGGTTTTGTATAATGTATGAAATATTAAGTATGGACCTATATCCATCCATCCATCAGATGACTTGAGAAGATACAGAGCTAGCAGTTGACTTTCCCCGAAAAAAAGGCCTCTGATCTAATAAGATCTTCAACTCCCAAATCCACCAGTGGTCAGCAACCTCATATGTTTACTTCTGGCCTTCACCTTTTTCCTCATGCTCCTCTTTTCTCTCTCTGCAGTATATTTGACTCAATAGAAAAGTGCTATTAAGAGGTGATTTTTTTTTCCCCCAGAGAAAGAAAGAGAGAGGCTCAGATGGGTTTGACTGCACAGCCGATGCGCTAAGAATTGCGCCTGTAAAGCTAGATGGGTTTGCCAAGCATCTGTTAAGCACTTGGGAGGGAGAGGGGGAAAGGAAGCTTTAACGATGGGAAGCTTCAAAAGCCAATGCCTGAAAAGGCTTTATTTTAAAATGATTCTGATTTATCGTTTTCATAGAGCAGTATCCACGTCAGCAGCTTTATCATCCTGAATCCGGCAGGTCTGAGCCGTAAGAAAGGCACTTTTCCAATTGCAAAAATCTGCTCCCCTTCCAGGGGAGCTCAACGGCAGGCCAGCTGACCAGTAGCCAGTAAATGCAGTTCAATCGACTTGGCGGTATTCATTCTCCAGATCCACCTCTCTTTTGAAATATCTTGATGTCGGAATGCTAAAATGCCTGTTGCCCCAAATAGAGATACAACGGAACAAGGAGAGCCTGTGAATCTACACCAATTGGCCTCCCTCACTCCCAAACGCACAAGTCTCACATCCATCTCTACCTCCAGAACATCCCACCTGCATCTTCCTGTTTCACCGTGATTCCCTTCAGGATTTGGCTTACGATGCCATTGCCCAGATGCTGAGCCAGCTGTGTGAATCTGTATATTAGGCCCGGGGGATTCCATTAACAAAGACTCTTAGTTGGATCCCCATCAAAGAAAGAATCTAAGAATTATCTTAGATAATCAATAGATTCATGTCTTCCTGACCTCACTGAATTCATGGCAAAACAATCCCCAGTGGCTAAATAACTGTGAGTTACTCTGCCTGGGCACAGAAAACATGTTCTTATGACATTACCAGATGCAGCTACTTAGAAGACATCATCTCTCATTCAGCCACTGGGCGATCGTACCATTTACATCCTGGCTGGGCCTCCAAAACCGCCTCCTCTCAGAAATGTATAACTGGGTTGTCCGCATATGTAAGCACTTTGTTGTATGTTTTGGATGGCCTGGGCTTTCCAACCCTCTTCAGTAGTAAAGATGCTGACCTTGCTGTAGAGGCCTCACTAACCTATGCAGCATGAAGAATTCCTCTTGTTGGTTTTTAAAGCTTCCAGTGGAAAATTGCAGGAACAACTACCCACAAAATAGTGTAAAAACTTCTCTGTTTTCTGATGGATTGCCCTGAAATAACCAAAGAAAAATATTAGGAGAGCTATCAAAGCAAGCATTAAAGGCCATCTTTGTCTTCTGATAAGAGTAGGTTTGTTTTATTTTTATTTTTATTTTAAAAGGAATCTCCTATAATTCTGGAGTATAACATTTGGGGAGTTTGGAGGGCTACAACATTCCAGAGAAGAATCCAAGTCCTAAATCAGAGGGATTTTTTCATTCCCAAATCAAGATGACTACAGAGTACATTTTCTCTTGCAAGGACGCTTTAATTCCTATCTGTATTGGGTTTGTATTTTTTGACAGAATCATTCTTCCTCCATCAATGCAATTTGGCTGGATCTGCTATTTGGCTGCTGTCCTTTTCTGTAGATACGTACAGCATTGGGTCCAAGAGACAATTAGAGGACAGAAATCCTGATCATTTTCAGTGTAGCATTTCAAACTGGGGCATAAATTGAGGTGGTTTTATGTGAGGCACCTTTTGATTTCAAGCCAACTGGTCCATGAACAGTAATGGCAGATTCCCCGTTTATATGCCATTCCAATTAAAAGCAGCTCTGAGCGGCTGACACTTAACAGCAAACTGTACATATTAAATGGCAACAATCAAATTTTTGCATCGTCCTGAAAGGCCGCCCAGAAAATTCTGGTCTTATCACCTTGCAGATCACTGACATTTCCAAACTCAAACTGATTATGTTATCCTAGCTAATGTTTTATAGGCCTCCTGACTCCCAGCAACTCTGAACCATTTACAGATTGTTTAAAGTATTAAAAACAGGAAGAACTAGAGAAAAAAAAAGAAAGGTAAAGATGGCAGGATGACAAATCAGCTGGAGCTAAAGGAAAAATCCACATGGTACAAAAGGGCTTCAACCATTCTTGGCAAACACCTGGGCAAAGAATCAGATCTTCTTGATCCTTCAAGGGCCATCAGATCTCAGGGGGAATTTGATTCCTGAGGGTGCACTTCCAGGGTCCTGACATATGACATTGTTTAATCACAGGAACCCTCAAAAAGCCAATCTTGCCAAATAAAATTGCATGGGTAGATACTATGGGAGGCACTAATCAGGCCTTAAGCCCTGTATCTTCTTACCAACACCCAGATTTCTCACAAAGATCTTCACTGTTAACATCCAAATTTAATACTTTGTCCATACACAAGAGAGAGAGAGAAAGAGAGAGATGATAGAAAAGAAATTGGCTTTATTTTTGATGGGGTCACACAAATGCATGTATCATTTTATGAGTCAAGCTACCATAAAGTTTGATGGCTTCAAATAGGACACTTCCTTTGATGGTTAAAGGGACTGTGCTGGTCAGACAGTATATAGTTCATTGGGAATTGGGAGCTGTCCCCTTAAGGGAATGCCTCATGGTAAATGTAGTCAATGCCTCATGGGAAAGGTAATTCATGTCATGTGGTCACATCTGTAATCCTGATTGGTCACTGAATTGACTCTTGGTTGGGTTTGGGGGAATTTCCTTTATTCTTGACCCAGCATCACGCTGGTGTCTTTCCCTTGCTCCATCATTATGGGATGAAGATAACTATATTTTCACACTATGAAGACGACTATGCCAAGATTGGACATTAGATGAATCTCAACGTAACTGTGAGTTATACCTTGAGGATGCCTATTACAATCCAATAAAGAGAACTTTGTATGGAAGCCTTTGTAGAGTTTATCTAACTGTCTTTATATTCAGCCAGAAAGTTAAGTTAAAGACAGAACAGGGACAACAATGTTCCCTTTAACACTTCTGGGAAATATTAATATTATTAATATCTGGGAAATATGAAGGCTTTAAACTAAATTGAAAAAAACCCTGAACATTCTGGAAGAAAACAAACCAGTTCCATATTGGTACTATGGAAACCACATAAATGTGTCTGTGAGATCAGTAGAGGTCCTTATCCAACTAGGTGGGTCATAGAAAAGCTGTATTGGACGACTAGAAAGTTCTAACAATGCAACTGAGATTGGAATGCTGAGATAACATTCTGGAAGAAAGCTGTAGCAAACCCTTTCTGTATTCCATCAAGAATAATGGGCACTGTAGATGGCAGTGGGGAGGAAAATTTAAAGGAGGCTTTATTTACTGTGATTACTTCTCATGTTGTAGATCAGGGGTGTCCAACCTTGGCAACTTTAAGACTTGTGGACTTCAACTC